AGCTGAGAGCTGGGTTCGAGCTGAATGAAACTTAGGTGGACGGGGTATATCGTCTTAAAATTACATTCCTTTAGCTTCTCAGGTACATGAGGTATCAATTTACACGAAAAAAATTTTGGCGGGCCCGTATGTGGGTACCACGCTTACCGGGGGGCTGGGTTTGAGCCCACTAAGACCCACTTCGACGGGGAACATCATCCTATGATTTCAGCGTCCTAGCTTCTCAGGTCCTCCAGTTATGAACTGACTCCAAAAAAACTTTGGTGGGCCCGTACGCGGATACCACGCGGGTTTTGGTGCCCATTTTGGGGATTGGGGGCGACACGTGCATGTAGATTAAATTCCCGAAATTTCAGCCCCACAGCTTTTACAGGTCCTGAGATGAAAGTGCGTGACATACGCAAACACAGACAACCTCTTATCAATATGCGTTTTTCGCATTGCATTGCTGCAAAAAACGCATAAAAGTAAATTAAAACAAACCTGAACTTGTGAATAAAAGGAAAAAAAGCTAAGTCAAGGAATTGGAGCCTGTAAACAAAAATAAATAAAAACTGAGCTAATGCGAATAGGAACTGTCTTACAAAAACCCGTCTTTGAAGACGGTTATGCTTAGGTGAAGCTGAGGGCAAATGAGTTCAGTTGGATTTACTAAAGCTTATGCTTAGGTGAAGCTGAAGGCAAATAAATACGACTGGATTTACACAACAATTGCAGACAATTCCATAGCGTTGCCTTCCACAGCCTGGAACTATGCAGAGCAGTTATATCTCTGTTTTTTTTGCCTCCAAAATCTCACAGAAGCAGAGGTTAACTTTATTCCCTTGCATTCATTCTACCCTATTTTGTTCAGTTTATGGAATTTATTCGCTCTCAGTTTTACCTAAACATCAGTTTCATAAACAGGGAAGTCTCCTACTGATGAGGAGTTCTTATGAGACAGTTCCCACTAGGAAAACCTCTGTCTCTCTTGCTTTTATTCACAGAGTCAGATTTGCTTTAATTTACTTTTCCTTGTGACGTTGTGTTGTCTTTTTCTCTTTACTGCTGTCTCCAGTTCTGTCTTGAGCTCCTGACTTGTATCCTCGTTTCCTTTTTCTATCCTGTCCCAAACTTTGCCTGCAAAGCAACTGGGCTCCTCTCCATCCCCACTGTAAGGGAACTGGGCGAGCAGGCAGTATTTTCTTTCCTTACGTCGGGTATCTGCGATAAAAACCACAAACCATGGGAGATTTTTGTTCCCCCCCCCTTGTTCGTCACTACATCGGAAGCCCCACCTTTCCCCCGCCTCGGCCACCCTGCTACTCCCTCTCCCCTTTTCCCTCGGTCGTCCCGCTAAAATCCTCCTCAATGGCCTCGCTACATCCTCATTCCGATCATCGCTATTTTGGACGCTCCGCTACTCCTCCCTCGCTAGTCGACCCTAAACTACGGCGACGACCGGGGGAGGGAGGAGGCTCCTGCGAGCGCTACAGGGGGTATCGAAAAAAGTTTTTTACGGTAAAACAACTGCTACCTGAGCACCCGGGGGGAGGAGGGTGAAAGACCCTGCCCCCCTCCTCCCGGATCCGCCAATGCCAGGAACACACTGCCTCATCCTCTCCATTCATCACCCTTCCCTCTCCCGTCCAAACCTAACCAACCGTCAGAGGAACTACGTCACTTAGTCACTAAACCTGCCTATTCCAGCCTCCCTGCCCTGTCTCGAACGAAACCCGTAACATATCACCTCCTTTTCATTCGCTGCATTCAAACTCCCGCCACCCGCCGTGAATAGCCGCGACAGCCCCTTAAAAAAATTTTTCGCAGGTCATGTATGACACCGGCCGAGCCGAGCCGAACCGAGTTATTGTGATTGGCCGCGGCACTCACTCTAGTCTGGCCGGGCGAGGCCGAGTTTTAGTAGCCACTCGAATTTGCGCTGCGGTAAAACACTAAAGACGATAGCAGGAATAATTGGCGAACGCACCGGCTGCTGGTGCAATGATGTGTTTTTTGCATAGTTACCTGCAGTTTTTGGTCCGTTGCCAGTACCAGTTTTTCCGACAAATACTTCTAGCTAAACAAATTAAGACTGGCTTCCAAAACTGTTAGAAAACACCCCTTAAAATTTCAGCTTTCTAGCTTTCCTGACTCCCGAATTACCAAATTTCCTCGAGAAAAACTTTCATGGGGCCGCACGCGTGACCGCTGTCTGGGTTTGAGCTCATTAATACTCACTTGAATGGGGAATATCCCCTTAAAATTCTAATCCTCTAGCTTCTCAAGTTCTCGAATTAGCAACTTACCCGAAAAAAGTTTTGGCGGGCCCGAGCGTGAGTAACGTGGATACCCGAAGGCTGGATTTGAGCTCATTGATACTTACGTGGACAGGGAACATCCCCTTAAAATTCCAGCTTTCTAGCTTTTCTGGTTCCCAAGTTAGCGACTTACTCGCAAAAAACTTCCATGGGTCCGCACGTGAGCACCATGTGGGTAAGAACGCCCATTTTGGGGTTTTGGGCCCGTACGTACATGAAGATTAAGTTCCCGAAGTTTCAGCGCTGTAGCTTTTGCAGATCCTGAGATGAAAAATCGTGATAGACGCACACACAGACACACAGGCAACCCCTCATCACTATGGGTTTTCTGCATTGCATAGCTGCAAAGACGCATAAAAATTAAGTTAAGCTGCGTCCTGTAGAAGCGCTTGTCCATTACTTTTAGCACTAGTGCTCTGAGATGACGTTCGCATTCATAAGTGCATACTGAGGTCCCTGTTTATGATGCACTCGTATATTCCTTTTTACCTGCATTGCATGGATCGCGATTTTATTGAGCAGTCATAAGGAGAGGAGACGATCTGCCATCCGAGATCGTCTTGTGAGAACGCTCGATCTACTGCCATCCTCTTTCTGGTGTTTCTCGCAAATACGTAGCTTGTTGTTTTAACTGACGCTTCACCCATTTCTTTTTCTTTTGTTATGCTGATCAATCGTCGCTTCGGTACCAGTGATGCAGTTGGCCTGATGCTTCTGTTCTCTGTTTTGCCACTCACACAATTCCATGCAGACTTCCAAACAGATTCTTCCAACTGCCCTTCTCTGTGTCTTCTTTCAACGTTCTCCGAGTAGCATTCAGTAATCCAGTTTGTTACCGACTGGGAAGGAGCTGCGATTCTGCTTGCAGATAGGTACTGGAAACAGAGGCGGAATGCATGACAGAAGAGGCCTAAATTGGCTCTTACGTCCAGTACAAGACTTTACGCCGGAAAGACAAATAATCTTCAAAGCGGCACCTCACTCTTTTAGGGATTTTCGCAGGTCGAACCCGGACTCAAAAGTGAGTGCATATCGCGCGATCGTGCAATTCGCACTCACTGGCAGATTTTCGCATGAGCTGCAGAACTGCGCACAGATATAGGTTATTTGTTTAACTGTGACAGGTGTCGTACATAGCTCAGCAGTTAATTTCTTGCAGAACTTCATAAACTTACGTAATCTCCTCTCCCCTCCCCCACGCCTCCACGTAATTCACGTCCTTGTTCCCAATTCTTACTCTCAGGCAAACCCTCAGATCCTCCGCATTCTCACCCTCTCCTCCACCAGACCCCTCTCCCCCGAGACCTAAACTACCATCCCCTGCGCTCAACTACCCATCCCGACATCTCTCAGTGGTTGCAACTCGTTTCCCAACCCGGTCGAATTTTGGTAGTTGGTCTCGGCACGGTTCCAAGTGTCCAGTTGGCAGCGATGTGTTGGAAGGGTGTCTGGTTAGAAATTGTTGCGGCTTTGAGGTTGTTGCGCTGTGTGAGGTAAGTCTGTGTGTTCGCTGTGAGTCTGTGTGGGTGTGAGTGTTCATTCGAGGTGTTGTGTGCGTTGCTTTCAGATGTTCAATGTTGTGCTGGAATGTTTGCGATTCGCGTACACATTTCTCGAAGTGCTGCTCAACTACATCTCAAAGCCGTCGCATCTCATCAACACTCTCCTGCACCGCGACGGCGACAGCAACCAGTACATTGGCGGTGCCAGCGGCGGCCAGGAGGTACCCTCGCACATCGCCG